ATCCGTGGGGGGAAAAAAAAAAAAAAATTAAAACAATTTGCAAATGACAAACAACGCCGGCACCGAACGCTCACACTGTTCACCGGCAGTTCGACCCGGTAAGGTACCTCTGGCAACGCGGAGTCCGCCGCCTGCTGCCGCTCCTCACCCCGCTCAAAGCCCATCCCGGTGCTGCTGGAGCTGCCCGGGCTTGGCCGGCCTCGGGGTGCTCTGGCACCCCAGGCTGAGCTCTGCCTCAGCCCCCCGGATTTAGCTAGTGAAGCTAATGCGGCCACCCAAGCAACGGGCTCAATGATTAACGCCACCGGAGCGTTGGCAGGTAAGGAATGCGGAACAATATAAATAACGTGGCTTTAATTAAGGCCGTAATCAGGCATTCAGTTTAATGAATATTCAGGAAAGACCTACATTATTTGCTGAGTGTCTGCAATGTATCTTTGGTCTCCGAGTAGCACTGTAAATATACAAAATACTCGTGCAAAAGTTGGCTGGTTTTCTACAGACCCTTCTGTGATTTGTCAGGAATACCCTGACCTGTTCACAAAAGGATCTTAACAGTAAAATGATACTCTCTTTATTTTTCTTCATTTCTTTGTTTAAAGAATACAATTCAGCTTTCCAAACGAATGAACTATTCAGAAACAAAAATATTAGTATCAAGTTCTTACAGAGGCTTGCTTTTTAATAAAGGAAGCCTTTTGCTTCTCTTTCAAATTGCATATATCTGACAACATCTAACACAATTAATTTAAAGGCTTGTGCTTTAGAAATGAAGTCTAAGGACTTTTAAGCTACCTGGGTTTTGGTTTATTTACAATTTAACATTTACTTCCTGAACCTCCAGCTTGCAATCTTTGCATGGCAACGGATACGCTGAGGTAGGACTGCATCGCAGAGACACAGGTACCTGTACTGGGAGGGTAACAAAACAGGGTGAGGGGAGACGCTGCTCTATCACAATGACACAGCTCCGACCACTGCACATGCACGTGACAAGGCACACTGAACAAACGGAGACCTTCAGACAACCCTTTCCTCTATGGTTACAACTTGGAGTGAGTTGGGCAAAAAGGCAGGGTACTAAGCATGGGTGACACCAATATGCACGTCACAGCAGGCTGTGGTCCTGGATTCCGGGGCTGCCGGTTTTAGTGGAGGTTCAAGCACCAGACACGACTCTGCAAGGCATCTTCAGCCAGGCAGAGCTAAGAGAGACTAGGCATGAAGACATTGTGTGCGGAGTGAGCAGGATGGAGCTTCTCTGGTAAGGAGTGGATGGATAAAGTGTTCAATTGGCACTGATGGTGTGTGGAGAACATGTGACTTCAATCAAATAATATAGAGTAATAAGAGCTGCAGAAAGCTAGTGAGACCTGAGCAGCAGCATAATGACAGTTAACTGGAGAGAAAAGATCCCTGAGAGCAAAGCAAAACTGAGTACCACAAATGAAGGTTTTGTATCTTCCTGGGCAACTCTCAAACTGGTCTGACAAAGTGACCTTGGAAGGAGAAATTGTAATGATAGAGGCCCTTGTTAACGAGGCCTTAAGCGCTGGCACCATTTCAACAAGATCCTCTTGAGAGATCAACTCATTTGGGAAGAAGTTGTTTCCTCCTACCAGAATGGTGGTGAAAAATAAGGCACTAGCAAAAAATTAATTAGGATTAAAAAAAAAACCCCAAACAAACCAATCTCAGGCACTCACGGAAAAGATGTCCTAGATTTGGGGTTGGGGTTTTTTTTGGGGGGTAGAGGGGTTGTTGGTTTGTTTGTTGGTTTTTTTTGGTTGGTTTGGGGATTATTTTTTTTTTTTAAGTATTATGATTCTAAAGTTAATCATCGCTGTAAGGTGACAGCTTTTTACAGGCAGTCTTAATCTTCTCCTGGGTAGGTCTTCTGTCTCTCAACTCTGCTTTCTCCCCTCAAACAGCTGTCAGCATCTGTTGATATCATTACTAAAGAGTTCCACAAGTAATTAATCCCTAATGACAGGTCTTATTAGTTTAAAACAAGCAACGAAGAGAGAAGTAAGACTTGCACATAGCATAACTGCATTTAACCATACTTTAACCTATCCAACAGAATTTTCATACCCTGAGCGTCAAATGCCAATTGAAGAAATTCTGGGAACAGATGGTTGCTTCCCTAATACAAGACAGTGCTAGTGCTGCCATTCCCCTGGGGTGACAGGAAAAGTACTCTTTGTTTTCCCACTTTACAGGTAATTTTTGTTAGAAAGAAACACACTGTGTGACCAGAAGACCACTACCTAAGGTCAAAGTATATAAGCCTCACTACAAATAGGTATCTCCAGCTTCATGTAAATAGAAAACATTTCCAAAGTGTATACAGCTGTAAATCTGAGAGTTCTGGGCTAAGGTAAGTTAAGACCCTAAGCCAGAATCAGTCATCATTTTGATGTCAAAAGTTTATCACCCATGGGTTGCCATTGCTCCCCAGGTGTGATCCAGCCTGTCATTGCTGAGGGTGCAGCCCGTTAAATTCTTTGAGTCATACATACTGCAAGCAAGAAAGTACCTACTGCTCTCTTCAGATACTTGTTTCTTGATAGCATGACCAATTCAGGCTGTCAAATTTGTACTACAATGCAACCTACTTATCACTGTTTCACTTCTCCTCTGTGTACCTAGTCAAAATAACTGTCCAAATAAATCCCTTTCTTTTTGGGTTTATACTTGTAGCTACATAGTCATTTGGTTATTTCAAAGCTTTTCTCAGTCAGTCCCTCCAATTCGCCAGTCATTTTGGTGGCTCAAGCTCAGTCCTCTGAGTTCTGCAGCAATTTGCAGGTGCTTAAGTGTTCATCCCAAATGCAAGTGCAGAAACTCCTGAATCTTTCCCCAGGAATGTTCCTGTGCATGGGCATGTGCTTTGCTCTCTCCACCCCCCAGAACAGGCACCCCCAGAACACGATCCATAGCTACCTGACAAAATGGAGTAGAAGGAGGATCGATTCGGTGACCTGCTCCTGGATAACTCAAGAGTTCAAAGTTTTCTTTCCCATGCTGGCGTAAACGCCCGATTGCCAGCTGAGCATATAAGGGGCTCTTCCACATACGATCATCTTCCCCTACCACTAGGAGAAAGTGACCTTCCACTCTTTCAATGGGGATCGTGCAAGGAGAATTAGCAGGATTCGTTGGGTCATCCAGAGCTTCAAAGGTGTCAAATACACCAGCGTCGGAAACACTGACCTTATTCATATCAAAACGCAGCCCAGGCAGAGTCATCTCACCATAATGGAGGTCTGCAACTGTGTTTGCACTACAGCCAGAGATGCAGACAGCAGCCACTACTTCTGGCAGGAAGGTGATCATGGAGAGTGCTAATTCTGCCCCTTTCCCAGTCCCAATCACTCCAACTCCTGGTCCCTTCACCTTAAGGGTGAAGATAGGGGGTGGGGAAGAGAGAAAGAAAAGAATAAAGGAAGTATGCATTATAATGAGATTAGCCATTAAATGCCTTTGGAGTTGTGTTATTAAAAAAAAGGTTAGGTTAATTATTGATGTGACCTGTTGGAAAGCTACAGCCTGGACCCAGACTACTCCCTCTGTTAAGTGTCTTATTTTTCAGGGACAAGAAGAGCTGTCAAACCCCACAAAATAACACAGGCACAGGAAGTACCATCACTTGAGCCTCACCTAATCCCTACTGCATATTTTGATGCAAGTATTTTCTTTTTCCCAAAACAGGTAGCAGGAAATTCAAGCAAAGTCTATTGCTATATATGTCTCAGGCAAGTAACCTCACAAATTATAGCTGAAAGATTTGATAAGTAGTATTTAGTCTTGTCTCTGGTCCCAAGTGACCTCTCATTACACTCACCTTTGGGTGACGCTGTAGGAATCTAGCTGCCTCCTCAAAGTACTCAAGTTTGAATTCTTTCATGACCTTAGGCAGATCTTCAAAGTCAAAATATGGCAGAGAAAGAGCAGCAAAACCACGGGTAGCCAGGAGGCTGGATCTAAATTCAATCAAACCTCCTTCATCACCGAACATGTCAATCACTCCAGGAAAGGGGCCATCCCCTGTATTAAAAAGAAGGGGTACAGAGTACAAGTTATCAAACAGGACACTAAAAACTATCTAGTGAACAAAATATAGAAGGCTTAAGACATTTTCTATTAATACTCATTACTTTTCCATTTGCACAGCAGAGATTAAGAGAACCAGTGCTGTATCTCACTTGAGCTATTTCAAACTAAGAATAGGTCCTTAGCTTCCTGTAAAAATATGTGAGCAGTTAAACTTCGTAAAAAAAAACAAAAAAAAAAACAACAAACACCACAACAAAAACCGTAACCCACAACCCCCTGTTCTAAATGTATTTTTCAATGGTCTTAACCTCCCACCCTCAGAACAATCATACTCTATATCAGCTATTTTCCCACAAAGAAGTCATACCTTAATTAGCAAAGTGCAAGCTCATTACTAATGAGGCAAGAGCACCGAGCCCTGGAAGTAAATTCTGCAAAACTTACGCAAACTCTGGAATGAGGTGCATTGAGCAAAGCAGAGAAACACCCACTGCTAAATGAAATCAACTGGACTTACTAGCTGTATCTCAAAATCAGCACTGTAACACCTGGCAGCAGAACTGCTACCGCAAATGTGAAGAGAGAGAGAGAGTAAAAATGAGAGCTATGTGGGTGCGGTTATGTGTACATGACCGATATATAGATAAACATGCATATACATGTGTACAATCAGTCCCACAAAACTGCAGAAATAATCAGAACCATAATTTTAAACGAGCATGCTTTTGCAGCCAGCGTTGTGTTGGGATATTACTGTACACCATATGCCAGCAGGTCTTGAGTTAAAAGGTGAAGGATACTACCTCTTGGAACCATAAAGACCCCAGGCAGGCAACTTATTTTTTCACTTTTTTTTTCCCCTGGCCACCAGATGTCATCACTGATGTACTCGGATCCAGCTCACTACAACTATCTCAGCAACAAAGGTATTTGCAAGAGCGCATTAACTGTCTGACATTACCTACATGCAATAAAGAAAAGACCTCTGGCATTTCAAGTTGCTTGAGAAAAGGAAGTTTCGGACAAGACCTGCTAGATGGTGGAAACCTCCTAACTTAAAGCATTAGGAAGTCAAAGAGGACTGAAACACGCTTTTGGGTTCTTTTAGTACTGAAAATTTTCAAAGTTCAATATTCTACTTGAGAGAAAATCTGTCTGGATAAATTTATCCTAATGCCATGATCAACAATTACATTTAGTTAACAACAGTCAGTCTAGACGGCTAGGAAAAAAGCATTCATTTATCACCCTTACCTGGAAAGCTTTCTAGCAAGAACATATGAGCAGAACATAGTCAAGCATGAGTTTCTCTCTCATGAAGACAACCTTTAACTTACATAAGGATCCTGGACTGCCTTCCTGAGTGCCTACACATGCCCAAGTATACAGTTTCTACATAAAAAGCAGGATAAAATGGGCTAGACAACATGACTACAGCTTAAAAACAAACAAAAACCCCCACACCTGTAACTCTTACACCTGAATTGAGAAATCATTCATATTAAAATTACAGCGTAAGCCCACTCACGTCATCTCACTTTTACTAAGCTCACAGTTGAAATTCCTGTCTTAATATTATTAACATTTTTCCATGCCTGGAGCAAAGAAAGGTACGGTAGTAATGCTGTAACTGGATCCTGCATCAAGAAGGATGCCAGTATCATTTAAGCAATGATTCCAGACTTTTCCACACTATTACAACACCAGACTTTCTGAAGTGAAAAATGCAGTTCCATCTTGCAGATCTCTGGATTCCCACTAAGCTCAGCAGAAATCCAGCTCATCCTCTAAGGCAGGATATATCAAAACAACCATGTCTCAGTGATGGAAAATCCAGAATGCTGACTAAACATTTGATCTAAAATTCAAAGTTCAGTCTCTGTTGTTGTTTTTTCTTCAGTGTACTTTGGATCCGTATCTAAATGGATAAAAAGATTATTGGTTTGGAAATCATTCACTGAAAATACTTAAATCCCTAATAACTGTAGTGGTACTTAAAGGATTTCCTGAACCAAGTCCTTAGAGGTAATATGGAGGGCAGTTCTACTAGCACAACACTCAGGGAGATACAATACATTTAAGTCATGACTCAAGTGTACAAACACCATCATCCATGTAAGGTTTCATTTTCCAACACCACTAGCAGTCCTTCAGAATATCATGCCTCATAAAGCACAATCACCCCACAAGCAGAACAGGCAGAACTTGCTCAGAAATCTGTTTTGCCTTTATACCACAGAATAACCGAAGTAACTCAACTATTAACTTAGCTTTGGCTCTGGTGTAACAGAGGCAGAACACCTATATTTTATAGAATCTCTTCCACGGCTCTGCTTACTGGCATGCGTTTCACAGGGAAGAAAAGTGTCTTTTCGATTTGATCCTACTCAGCATAAAATCCTTGGAAGATTTAGCACAGGCTCACCAGATGAAGCGTATCAGCTTTTCTGAACATTACAGATTCTGGTAGTCCAGAGCAAACATCAAACCTGCTGAAAAATCGTAGACTGAGAGCAGCAACATGGTAAACTCTACAACCTCTACAATTTAGCTTCTGGCTGTCACACAAGAGCCACCTGCCCTTGCCCACCCTGCCCG